ATATATAAACAGTTAGGGTGAAATACTGTGCATGGAAGTAGCAATGACCTATTCACTGGTCTTTGCAAATAGCTCATTACTTTTTGTTGAGACACTACCTAACTGTAACCAGAGAACATATCCTGTTTAAGAGAGGATGTTTTGTTTAAGTTAAGAAAAGTAGCTGAACGGAGATTCCTGACATGATGTCATGCAAAAAGTTACCGCAAAACTATTTATACCTCTGTTTGGTTAACTACTTCAAGAGATGTCACACATTCTTTTGAGAATACACAAAATAATTAAAACAAACAAACATATGTTGCATTTGTTGTAAGGAGTGCATTATGCTCCAGTTAGTGTGAACTTGGCTGAGTTACGCATTGTTAATGACTGAAACAAAAACAAAACCAAAAAAAGCAAAAAACAAAGACGTTCTTTGCACATCTATGTTGTCATTTTCTAATAGTGTCACCATTAGAAGCTGTACATCAAGCTGACAGAAACAGAGATCATCTTATTTACATCAATTACTTCAAGAGCTCGTTTCTCCATTCCTATTTTTTTTCTTTTTTTACCATTTTCCCCTTCTCTTTCTTTTCTCTGACTGACTTTTACAACTTCCCCCTGGTTGAGGCTGCAGTTCTAACCCAAACAAAACTCCATTTTTTAGTTATTGGCCCTCATGGCATGTAATGGAGAATCAAGCTAATTATCCCTACAGCTGTTTTCACTTGCTTTTTATGTAAGCAATACCTGGCTGATTCAGAGAGCAACAGTGAGGCCCTTCTTAGCGCTCCAGGCCTCCAGGCCGGCTGGAATTAGAGAGCATAATGCCAGGTCCACACCCCCCACCCCATCCCCAAATCGTTCCCTCCCTGGTTCTGCCTGTGTGTACCCCTGAACCCATCTCCCAGTGCACAAGCCGGACTAAATCAGTCTGACGCAACCCCCTCCCCATCACACACACACACACACACACACACACACACAAACACACACATCCGCAGTCTCCATGTCCACCCGTAAATCTACCTCTCCAACTCCGCCTTTGAAGTTCAACAAAGCTGTTTTTCAGCGACCAAAATGGATGTGCAAGACAAGCACTCACTTTTTCACTCTGATGGCGATTAATGATGAAGGTGAACAGGGGTGTGGTCCGGGTTAAACGGGAACCATCTCCTGCTGTCACAGGATGAGAAAACACCAGAAAAAAAAGAGAGGAGAAAAAGAAGGACAGAGCGGTAAAGGTAGAGCACGAGGTAAAGAAGGAAAGAAAACAATTCCTCACAGGCTAATTACATAATTTCCTTCATCTGAATAAACACATGCTCGGTGAAAGCAAGTGTGAGCAAGCCTCACAGATGCCATACTGAGGAGTGCTGAGCAGACCAAGTAACATYATTTCTAGCTGCTTCTCCAGCAGCACAGCGTGTCTCGCAAAGGTAGACCTCAGAGGCAACAGGATCTGCACAGTTTGTAGCTTTTAAGGAACTCATATTCCAAATTTACTTCAGACTTGATCGTTTCTTTCCAGTAATCTTGRGCTAAAATGACTCAGTGGAGATAAACAATTGCTGGTGTACTGTTTCATTTCCAAACAATCATCCCTGAATGTTGACAGAAATGTGTTCAGTACAAACGCCACTAGGTGGAGTTGACTGTTGTTGGGGGGAAAAAATACATATTCATGTATCCTTCTCAATAAACTCCCATGGAGAGGGAGCGTGTGTCTGTGAGTCAGACAGCATACTGTTTGTTAAACACTCCCTCCACAGCACACATTAACTCCTCCTCAATCTGTCATCTGCTTTGAAATAAAGAAAAGAGACTGCAGGCACTAGTAGCAACTCAAACCTGAAGTTAGCGAAGATTCTATTAGGTAGAGAAAGTAATAGAAAAACTCATATCTCCAACTTTTCCCTCTCCTTGTCACCATTTTTTTTTTGGTCTCTAATCCTTTGTGGAATGATGAGCTCCCTAAGTCCAGCCAAGTTTTGCTGCTGTACAAATGACACAGGTGGAATCTGCAGCAGCTGCTCCCAATGTAGTACTTATCTTGGCATTTTCTGCAAACACACAAAAGTTGTCCTGCACACATACACACCAACATAACGTGCTTGTATTTAAAGCAGAACATGAGCACGGATGGGAAAATCCACACAAAAATGCAAAGGCTCACATCAAAGCACAGAAGTGAAAATGTGTTACTAGTAGGACAGGTTTAAATGTTTAATTATCAAACTTTGCCAAAGGCAAGAAAAGGAAATTACTGTATTATTGTGAATGAACACAGTTTTCACACAGCTTCAAAATACAAGTTAATGAAACAAAAGATCTATGGAACTGTCTCTCAACCCCAAACTGTTTGATCTTTCTTAGAGCTCAGAATTTCCTCTTACTAACTTCCATATTACTCCTGCAAGCATTTTTGTCTTGATTATTTATGAGAAAGAAAGAGGGAAAATGTAAATGACATCGTTTTTATTGTAGAGAGAAAAAAAGGCAATAATTCTGCTGTGGACTTCCTGCTGCTTTCCTTTCAGWTTTTTATTTACAACTTTCAACAGAACGGGGGCAATCCTAGTGAGGCTGTGCTGCAGAACAACACCTTGACCCGGAGCTTCACCTTGACATAGTATAGAGGCGGCCCATCAGAAACAGGGCCCACATTAAGAGGCCCGAACACGCCTGTGTCTTGAAAGCAGCACAGGCCCAGCCGGGCAGGGGAGACAAGTGAAACCTGAGTCCACATTAAAGCATCACCATCAGGTAGGAGATCAGGGGAGGCCTCCATGCTCTCAGAGTTTGCGGGAGTCTGGGCCTCTGAAGCTCTATCTCACCTCCATCTGGAAAGAGAATCTGAGGGTTGTCTGATGGTCCGATAAGAGGCCAATGTCGACTGACACGGTAACAGCCTCTTACCCCCACTTGCAAAAAAAAAAGGGGCAGCAGCAATGTGGGTGCAAGTTGTGGTGCACTCTAATGTGAGTACAGAAGGGAGGGTGAGGAGCTTAAAGTAGAGGTCTGGAAATCAGGAGGGTTCGAGGGTTATAGGTGCATAGAGGCACTTAATTTGCTTTGATGGTTTGGCCCACTGGCCTGAAGTGCATGCACAGGTGTTAGGTTTACAAAAACAAATTTATAATGAAATACGTGTGGCAGCTTGCTTTCTTGAACTGAAATACACACATGAATATATGATGTGTCACAGAAGAACGTTGTAAAACTGCCCTCATTTGAGTTTGTTTTCTTATTGCCTTTCTAGCTTACAAGATAGACAGAATCCTCTTTCTCTCTGACGTGGGCAAAATTCATTTTGACAGATATGACGGGTTTAATCGACTAAAATATGAAGACAGAATCAAAAGCTTTATCTAGAAAATAATCAATTTAAAGTTCCTGCAACAACGTTGGTGTTCATGTCTGACTGTGCAAGTTCTGCAAATGGGCACAGAGACAACAGAAACCGGGTTTTGCATTTAAAATGATCTGAACTGCCTAAAACTGTTGAGCAAATAAATGTGATCCTAGAGGCTTGAGACTGCTCAAACAGCATTACCTGCTTTTTTTGTGAGCCAAGAAGCTCTGATATTAATATCTATTCTGAAGGTATTTGAGGTGAACAAGTTMAGTCGGAGTCATCTTGTGTTTAGCCAACGTTAGAGCTCATGCCCATCTATTGTTAATGCAGGCATTTAATCATCGAGCCCACTTGGATGAGAGATTTGCTGATTTTCTTTTGAGGTGTATTTAGTTTTTATGCAAGTATTTTTTCTCTCTCTCTCTCTTACAGCCTTTTCCTATGTTTTTTTTTTGTTATTTAAAAAATAAAACTACACACAAGTTTAAGACTAAGTCTAGGTTGTTGTTATGAATGGTCTTAGCTTTGCATTACTCCACCGAGGTGTTTAATTCTAAGTCCAGTCTGAGGAAGGGCCAATCTTTTTTTCAGTTGAGTATTTGGTGCTCTCGAGGTCAGCATAGCCCTAAGACATGAAACATATAGGATATACACTGGGGATGAAGATGGAGGTTTTCACAGTACCTGGTGGTCTTCCTGAAACCTCTACCTCAGCATGACCCCAGAGTCAATACGCAAGAGTAAAACGTAAAAACCTACCACAAGTGGTATGATTTTTCTTGCTGTTAGTCCCAGTAGTCAGTACTAAKGTAAAGTTAATATATCTTAAAATGCAATTTAAGTCAGTGCAACAAATGAAACAGCAATCAACAAAATGTTAATTGATAGAAGTCACTGCAATGTTTGTTTCCCCATAGTTTTCCCCATTTTTTTTAACAAAGATTCACTTAGTGTATTGACTTTGTTGATTCATTTTCTTTAAGGGTTTGTTTTCAGCTGCTACATTGTTTACTTTAACTTAAAAAAAACCATAGTAGTTTCTAATGCTAGTGCTACTGCTTATACTGACAGTGCATAGCCTTTGCCCCCAAAATAGCAAATGGAAATATGCTTGGTTTTCAGGTCATTTAGATCCATTTCAAGATCAGTTGTCGGTGAAACTGAAAAGAAAGCGAGATTGGTATGAGAATGTTTGGAAGGAAACATTCTGGTCTTCACAGGACCAGAACAGAGAGATGGAGTGTGTGGTGGGAAAATGGCACCAACACTTATAGGGTTAACTGAGACAGGAGGGAATGAAACCATCAGCAGTTAACTTCGAAACTCCTAAAGTGCTGTAACACCCCTTAACACGTGAATGTTTTAAGTCTAATTAAAACTCAGTTCCTCCTTGCACAGTCATCTTGAACCTTTAACCTGCTCAAGCCTGCTATGTAAAGATATAGAAAGCTTTGCCTGTAAAACCTTAAGGGAGATCCTGAAGATCATAAATAAGCATCGTACAAAGTGACACGTTTGGCTTTGTCTGCAGAGAGAAAGTAAATATTCCTCCTTCATTCTGACAAAACAGCTCATAGCTGTTTTATATTTACTGCTGAAAACACCCTGCACACATTAAATAAGGACTGATAAAGTTGTCCATACTGACAGTGCAAAGGCTTGCACTTAACATGTACTGTCTTGCACAGGCAAGGCAAAAAAAGGGTCTTTTTTATGATAACCAAAAATGAGATAAAGTGTAGCAAGAACTGCAATGTATGTAAACCTGTCTTCCTTGTGTTTATGAAAGCTTTGGATGTAGAAATATGGATGTGTCTGCTGAGTTGGGGATCACTTTTCAATTCTGGCATTTTAACTCAGATAACTAAAACAAACTTGTGACACACCATTCCAAACATCTCTTTGATACTGTGCATTAACATTACTAAAAAAACAAAAAAACAAAACAAAAAATAAATAAAAATAACACGTTGATGACTTGTGGAAAAGTGATTCAGTGAAGTGCGTGCAGGCTTCCAGTAACTCATAACATTTGCAGGATGAAATGTTACTATGTGAGTGTCTGCATAGGGTTTTTGTGTGAACCCTGTCCGTTTAGTCTGGGTGGTGTTAGGAACAGTATCAGCTTTAGGCCTCCCAAGCAAGGTCATGTGCTGATGTTTAGTAGGCGGCTTTCTCAGGTCACAGACTGAGACTTTCAACTGTCACTCACATTACTCCACATCTTTAAGTGGTTCTGTTTAACTGGCATACCTGACATCTCTCCTCCAGTTTGCTGTAATGATGGGTGACAGCTGCCCAATTCTTACCAAGCTGAAGGAAAAAAGCAACCTAAATAGTTGCTAGACATGGACTACACATAACATAACATAAGGTGGCAAAATTTAGAACATAACTGTAATATACACTGAAGTCCAGCAAACTGACGTAAACCCAAAAATAACATTTTTGTTAAAAAAAAGCAACGAACAATTGTAAAAGAAAAAAAAAAGGAGGAAAAAATCAACAGAAATATGAGTTGCTAGTTTTGGACTGACTCTTGCTTTTCATTCTTCATCGACCGAAACACTTGAGGCTAAAATACACAGCAACTGTAGTTGATATTAAAGCAGTTGGACATTGAAACCTTAAATGATGTGTCCACATTTTTCTCAAGTCTGTCTTAAAACAATACTCACATGCTCAAATGAACACCAAAACTAATTTTTTGCTTACCGCAATCATCCTTTCTGTTTTTGCTGGCTGATGTAAGAGACTCCCTCCCTAAGAGGCTCCAGGAAAAGTGATGGGAGAAAAAAGTCACCCGTTGAATTGGACAGAC